TAACATTTTTATTGAATTTTTGTGTATTTCATACAGAACATCTCAATCAATCTTAATCATCTTTATTCCCCCGGCCCTGCCAGCACCCTCCCATAGCGCCCCCCCCCTCCAATGGAGCCCATATACTCTGTCATCGCTGTTAAGGCCCTCTGCGCAGAAATCAAGAGGCTATTTAATTTTTTTAAAGCAAATATTCCACATTATTGACTCAATTTTTTTACCATACTTTTAATTTATTTATTTTATCTTTTGTTTCTATGATATATGTGTGCACATGTTCGCATGAGTGCAGGCTTGTGCTTGCCATGGTGTATGTGTGTGTGTGTGTATTGGTCAGGAGAAAACCTTGGGGGTTGATCACCTCCCCTTATAAGAGGCAGGGTCTCTCTTTTCGTGTTTACTGTTGCTTTTGCCAGGCCAGTTGGCTCACAATCTTCTGGGGACTCTCCTGTCTCTGTCTCCCATCTTGCTGGAAGAGTGCTGGGATTACAAACATGCGCTATCGTGTCTAGCTTTATGTGGGTTCCAGGAATCTGAACTCAAGTCTTCACCCTTGCATGGCAAATACTTTACATACTGAACCATCCTCCCAGCTCCATCCCCTTTTAATTTTTATTACATTTAAATTCATTTACTTCGTGTGCATGAGTTTGTGTGTGGGCATGCGTATGACACTGTGTATATCTGGAGGGCAATATTTAGGATTTTGGTTCTCTCCTACTGTGTGGATTCTAGGGTCTGAACTCATATAATCAGGCTCCATGGCAGGTGCCTTTATCCTCTGAGTCATCTTGCTGCTCTCCCCCTTTTTAAAAAATATACATTGCTTCCTGTTACCTCTTACCTATGTTATTGATAGGCAATTAGGCATTTTTTTCATTGTTGTTTTAGTATGGGTAGTACTTTCCTGTTAGCAGTTTCTTTTGGTTTTGGCCTATCGCACCTGTTTATAAGGCCAATGTGAGCATTCTCCACTTGGCCTATATTTAATACACTGGCTCTCACTCTCAGGTCTGGGTTCCCTTTTCCTAAGTTATTGTTGTGATAGATTTGCCAAATTCAGGTCTTGCTTTAAAAACATTTTAAGCCATTGGGCATGGTGGTGCATGCTGTAATCCCAGAACTTGGAAGGTGAAGGAAAAATGATCAACAGTTCAAGGTCATCCTCACCTATACAATGAGTTCAAGACCAGCCTGGGCTACATGAGATTCTAACAGTCTCCCTACTCCAAATTTAAAGCTATGTCTGAGGTCTTCAACTGCATGAACGTGAACACTCCAGAGGTCTATGATAGGGCCATGAGCCACATCACTCCAATTGAATTCTCCAGGACACAGAAGTTTAAGGAAGGGAAATCAATTAAATGACTCTAAAGGTCACAGTTTATCACCTGTTCAGAAAGTTCCCATGTAGCCTCTACCAGCGTTTGTTACCAAGAAGCCTGAAATATTGGAATTTACTTTTGTTCAGGAATATATTTGTGAAGAGAATATGCCTGACAGATACTAAAACTGTATTAATAATGTGATACATTTAAATTGCGTGATTTGGGTAATTTCTCTTATTAACTCATACATTTTACTAGGTATGGTAATACCTAGTAAAGAGGCTTTGGGAACATGATCCCCACCTCCCCTTTTAAGAATAAAACATTTAATTTCATAGGTAATTTTTATTTCATAGTGAAACCATATTTTTACTTATTTATTTATTAAAATGATTTTCAATATGTGCAAGTACTACAAGAAGGAACTTCCTCTTTTATAGTGTTGTTTTAATTTATCTGTTCTTCATCTTGGGAACATTTGGGGATCTGTTTTCTCTTGGATGTACCAAACAAATATTCAGAGTCCAAAGAGTAGATGATTGTCATAGGACTAATATGGGTTACATAACTCATTCACTCATTTTGGTGAAGACACAAGAGAGGTTGTTTCAGGCCATACAGTTAATCCAATGGCCTAAGATCACAGAAAGTCAAGGAATGTTCAGCCATTACTAAGTCCTAGGCCAGTGAGCCTCTGTGTTTTAATTTTTTATTACATTTTATTATTTATTTATTTAGTGTGTGTATGTATGTACATGTATCATGGTGCATGTGTGGCGGTCAGAGGACAACTTGCCTGAGTTAGTTTTCTTCTTCTACCATGTGGGTTCTAGTGATTGAACTCAGGTTGTCAGGCTTAGCTGTGTGTGCATTTACCTACTGAGTCACCACTCTAGAATTGCCTAACAATTTTTTAAGTTCAACTTATTAATTCTTTTAAAAAACTATGCTTTTCATACTGGATCTAAATACTCATCACCAAACCCAAGTCCATATACACTTTCTTTAGTATTTTCCTTTACAGGATGTATAGTTTTACATTTTACATGTGAGTCTATCATGTCTTAATTTTTATAAAAGCAGAGACAATCATCTCCCCCTCCCCCCCTTTTTTTTTGCTTGGAATTCCCAAGAGACTGCTTCAGATAGATAAACTTGTTGGAGCCTGAATATAAACAAAAAAAATTGCCAACAGAACCACATATCTTTAAAATTAATATTGATGGGCATCAGTAATAGAATTGAAAGGTTCAGATCTGAGGGAAAAACTCACTGGTAATTGTCCATGGTCAGGACACTTCTATAGTCTAGATAGTTATACTCCAGAGGGTAACTTGATTGATTAGTGACCATGGTACCTACAATTCATCTAAGACAGGGGTAGGTAGGATGAATGGGAATGGTAGCAGTGGTCACCCTCACATGTCCACTGTACTATCTCTCACTCTGAGTAGCTGGAGCCATGGAATGTACAGGTTTCACTAAGTATGCCCAGGGTCTTGCATTCAGTGAACACAGAATAAAATTTATCCAGTTGGTTCACTGAAGAAATGGAAGGTGTGTAATCTAAAATACAAGAGTCGCTTGGATAATACATGCACTTGAAAAGCCACCAAGGCTCTCAAGGAAGGAGACATGATAAGGATCATCACATATTTGAAGCACAATCCTGGGAAGGATTAGAAACAATATTAAAAGACAGAACTCACTGAGAAACAGTAGTTCAGCTCATTATACCTCTGAGTAGGCTGACTAATGGTGAGTTTGCGATCACTGGAAAAATTAAACAGCTCAAAGGCATCTTTGTGAAGGACGTCAGAGGAGGACCTTTCTGCACTGAGGAGAGTGAATGCAGCACTTTCTGCCTCTCTCAACTCTAAAATTTTATGGAGCATAATGGGTCTGGTTCCTAGTCAGATTGAGAACTTCAAAGCTCCATAGACATAAGTAATTAGGGCATCACATTCTATTTAAATCAAGATAAAACTCAAAGCTAGTATAAGATGTATGATAAGACGTCCAACAAAATTTAAGTGTGTGTGTGATGACTTATCTCTGAAGGCATACAGTATAAAACCTTCCCCTTCATTCTGCCTTTCTCTCTTTTGTGCTGGAAAGCAGGACCTAAGCATGTAATTACATCTATTCATTTCCCAGCATTGATTCTGATTTTAAGTACGGGCAGAAAGTCTGCAGAAACTTCTTGGAAGTCAGATTTTTTTTTTTTTTTAAAGTCGTTCCAAAGAAACCCCATGGAAAGGCAGGAATGCCTAAGGCCTTGTCATTGAGAATGTATATGTATGATCACAACATTAGTAATGCTGGGGATAAAATGTAGGTAAGCATTCTAAAAGTAAGTGCCACCTGCAATGGCCACTCAACACTTCCCAGCAATCATGCTAACACTCATAGGGACAGTCCAGAGGTGTGGTTTCCTCAGGGAGGAGGGGGTGAACTGTATTCCAGCCACCTGCAAAGTTTAAGTGTGTTCACTTTGCTTTAATTCTTTGAAAATTGACAACATATGCCCAAACATATAAATAAATAGAGTATGTTAGGCATTGATCATATAGAAATCATACACTTGTGTGATAATAATAGAATTTAAAGCCAAAATTAATTCGGTACAGCTTAAAAATGCTGCACTAGTGGATGTGAAAAACACTACCATTGAACTCTACCTGATGACCTTATATCCATGCTCAGATGCCAAGGAGCTCAGAAAGTAACCGACTGTGACTAGCAGTAATCAGATATATAGAGATTAGAACTGCATGTGCATCTTAGTGTCAATTGTATTCAAAATGAATTTTTCTGTATGAAACTGTGTATTTTAATAATGAAATGGAGATCTTCTTTAAAGTTTAAAACCTCATTTAATTTTATGTCTTATAAGGTTTATACTTGAGTACAATATTGTATAACTATTAATTCAACTGTAAACCTAAAAATATACAGCCTATTTTGAAAGCGATGCATCTTAGCTCTGGACATTGTTATTGAATATGTCAATGCTGTTGTAATGAAATGCTTCTTCTGATAATATGGTTATTAAATAAATAATTTTTTAAAAATACTGCACTAAATTGTTGGTTATATTTACCATATAAGTTTATCTTACTCCATGATTTCCACCCCTGGTATTAAATTGATAACAAATTTGGTCATGCATTATTTCTGAAGAAGTCTGTGAAAAATCAAATAATTAATCAAGTGACTATTGTCATTTTTGTATTTAGGAAATGAGTGAATTGATTTTGTTGGTTCATTTCTATTGTTATTTTAATTTTTGTTAGAACCTGTAAAAGCTTTCATATAAAGAGAAAAGAGACTAAATACTGTTTTATATTGTGTGAGGTTTTCTCTGTGCCATGCTAGAGGGCTATAACTTCCCGTTGCAACTCCAATGACATGCTCTCATGGCAAACTAACCTTTCTTCAGCTCTTCAGTTCCAGCAGAAAAAGTCAAATATGCCAAAATGAGTTTGCCAAGCCTTGCAACAGGTTTATTTCTTGCTTAAGGAAAAGAAACTACTCTTAAGACAATGGTATTAGTTTACAGATTTGAAATAAACCAATGTTGAACCATAATTATGAGGGGTGAGGAGAGAGAAGAAGAGGGAAGAGGAACAAAGAAAGGGATGGAAGGAAAACAGATTAAAAGATACTTACAGGGACATCAACGTATTTTGCAGCTGCTTTCACCTTAAATGGGAAAGAAAGGTAATTATGAGGATTATATTCTTAACTGACACATAAGTACTATGATAATAGTTAAAAGACAACATAAGAGAACTCATTGAAATACTTACAGTGAATGACAGAATGGATGAGAAAAAAGTGCCTTCATCATACCTTGACAGCTTAGACAAGACCCCTTCCAACACTGAAACAAACTATGATAAAGTTATGGTTAGTGGCGAGAGTGTTTCTGTGCGTACAGTCTAAGAGCAGTGTAGACAATTCCTAAGCCAACTTTCCCTAAGACATAAAAGTCCACAATGAACAAGATGACTGCTGAAGTCAGGGGAACTTGCAATGTCTGTTCTTTCTTTTTGAACATGAACTTGAGGATTATTTCTCATTGGTGGAAATAATACACTACTTTAAACAATAAAAGTGTATAATAGAATAGTTTCTATATACATGGCCCAGGACAGCTATGAATGTGATTTAACACAAAATCATAAACTTACTTAAAACACTGAGATTATTGTCTGCAATTGAGCAGTTATTTATTGTGAATTTTGTGAATGACAGTGTTGTGTCACAATGTTACATGAAATAAATATATACGTATATATGCTTTTGCAACCCATGGGTATTTGGCTCAAGGAAATTCTTCTTCATCCAATGTGAGAAGCCAAAAGAGAAGCCAAAAGGTTGGATGCCTTTGCTTTAAATCATTAATAAGTAATTTCAGGTTTGTGAGATTACTCCAGGAAATATTTTTCAGGTTTAATACAGATACTGATAAACAATGATGAATAAGCTTAATTAAATACTTGACCATAGCTCAAGTATTGAGCTATTGGATAATAAAGATCAGAAGATGGAAGGGAGGCACAACATTAAGGGGTTTTATAACATTAGAAAAAAATGACATTTTTAGCCAGCAGTGGTGACCAATGCCTTTAATCTCAGCACTTGGGAGGCTGAGGCAGGCAGATTTCTATGAGTTCAAGGCCAGCTTGGTCTACATAGTGGGTTCCAGGCCAGCTATGGTTCTCAAAAAGACCCCCTCCCCCAATTCTGACATTCTTTTACAATCAGTTCTAATTGAGACATTTAAGAATCATCCCTTTTTCAGGGCTATAAAGGCATCTCAGACATTACTTGTTCCATTAGTTAAATGTGTGTTGAGAGAGGGAAGGAATGGAATTCAAATCACCAGGAATGTTTTACGTTTCTAAAATTTCTTTTCCTGTCTCTGAGACAGGGTCTTATGTATCCTATGCTGGCTTCGAACTTCCTATTGTAGTTGAGAATGACTTTGAATTTATAATCCTCCCACTCTCACCTCTGGAGTCCTGGGATTACAGGCATGTGCCACCATGCACACTTTATGCAGTGCTGGAGCTCAAGCCCCAGGCTTCGTGCACGCTGTGTAAGCAAGCATTCTATCAATTTGAACTATATTGCCAACCAAAAATGAATTTTTTTGAGACACATTTTCACTATGAATCCCTGGCTAGCCTGGAAATCACTATGTAGACTAGGCTGGCCTTGAACTCATAGCAATCCACCTACCTGTGCCTCCTACATTTTGGGATTAAAGGCTTTCACCACCATGCCTGACCCTAAAATTATACATCTGTATATACACATATTAAAATTATATGTATTTATTTAGAGTATGAGTGTGTGTATGTGTGTGTGTGTGTGTGTGTGTGTGTGTGTGTGTCAAAGTCAGAGGACAACTTGTGGGAACTGGTCCTCTCCTACCATGTGAGTACTGGGGATTGAACTCAGGTAGTCAAAGCTTGGCTGCAAGGGCCCTAACCTGCTGAGCTATCTTGTGGCTAAGTTTATACTTGTATAAAATGAAGAGTGTCCAGTAATATAATACTGGAAAATCTTATTTTATTGTAAGGGAACATATATCTGGCTTGATGATCAGTGAATAAAAGAAATTAGAAAGGACATATGACCCTGCTTCTTTCTTGTATAAGTAAAGTAATATGTGCTATTGACAAATTACACACTCCCAAAGGGAGACAATGACAAGGTTTTTTAAATACGAAAAGGGAAATTAACAAAGGCTGGTTTTTGTTCACATAGCAGCTTCTTCAACAAAGTGATAATAGTTCCAGGGACCTGGCTTATTAGTCTCTGGTGACCACAGAACTCACTGTGAGTGCACAGGAGATAATCTTTTCTCTATGGTTGGTCAATTACTGCAAAATAGTTTATGCAAAAGAAACAAAAACTTCCCTATAGGTTTCTCTACCACATCATTTGTGATATGATGTAAGAATGTAGAAACAAATCATGTAAACTGCTGACTAAAGTTTTATTTTTTAAGGAGAATTACATTAAATTGGCAAGTTATCCTAAGGAATCTAAACAGTAAAAAACACAAAATTAGAAATTACTCAGGACTCAAAGTCTACTTAGGACTTTCTTCCAGCCTATTAGGATTTCTTACCAAGCATGACAGTCTAGTCAACTTGATGTGGTTTGCCAAGACCCAGAAGACCAATACTCCAGGGCTCTGTCAGATCAGGGGAAGGGAATTCCAGACTTAATGGCCCTCTGTGGAAAAGGCCTCATCTCTTGTAGCTCAAATCTCGAGAGCAAGTATATATGTTAGGTCATCTCATTTGCTATGAGGAGAGAGGCAATTACTATGGATACCAGACAACCTGAGGTATCAAAGGCTCCAGCACAGCATCTGGTCCTCGGTGCATTTAACCAGTCTGTACCTTACCCTAAAGGTCAAGGTAAAGTAGAGACAAGAAGCCTGCGGATGGATATAGAAGATGAGAGGTTGAGCTGTAGTTCTGCTACTGTCTGCTCTGAGATTCTATTGAGTCATTTTGCTTCTCTTGCTTTACTGTAAAGTGGAGAAAATGAAGCTATCCTGTTCACTTTACCAGGAGAGTACCAAAATCAGTGGAGGTAATTTAGGTGAAAGATTGAAATTTGTAAAATATTCAAGAAGTATAAAGAATTAAAACGGCTTGTATGATTAAATTATAATCATTATTTTTCTGAATATCTATGTGTTGAGTCACAAGTTAAGTAGAACTGTTTAGTGACAAGGAATAATAATGAGTTTGGCTCATGGTTAAATGGGTCTGAGTCAAGGACATCTATGGAGGTGTCTACGAAGGAGGAATGAAGTTGAGGCTGTCAGACCTTTAGAATCTTGCTTGCTTAAAGGTGAATGGCATGGGAGAAAGACTTGGAACACAGGTGACATATTCTAGACATGCTTTTTACCATCATGCTATAGAATCACAGAAATTGAGGCACTCCAGTAGGCAATGTGCCCAGTACCTAGAAGTGTTCAATATTCGAATGTCATTTTGTTATAATTATTGTAATTGAACACCTAAGACAAGAAAGACAAAATGTAACAATTTAGGATTCTCTTCTCAAGAAAATAAAAAGCTGTGGGAGAGAGAGAGGCATGAACACAACTGGGCATGACACAAGCTACGGGCCAGCATAATTGGGCACACATTACACAGAAACTGGAAGAATGCCTTTGACCTAAGGATTTACAGTAAACTGTTTATCATTAGAGCAGATGCTGGACTTCAGGACAAAAGAAATGGAGCTGATGAAGTGACATCTAGAAAACCCCGTGGAGAGGAATTTAGGGTGGAAGTTTTTTCCACCGAAGCACTTGGTAGCCTGTCTGTCCTGTCTTCTCTGGAGTTTGTGGTATCACTGGGCTACAGCTGGAAAAGCCCTCAGTGTGGGCTATGGTCTGGGCCGCCACAGCGACAGCCATGCAGTTTTCTTTGCCTCTCAGGAAGCCTCTGTTTGGGTTTCTCTCTGTCCCAAATGGTCCTCAGGGAGGCGTGACAGAGGAGTGGCTCTAAGGGCTTAGGGAGATTGCACCCTCGGGATCAACCAGATGAGCTGTACAGTTCCTACAGGAAAGTTTTCTTTGTAGGATTGTTGTTGAGACCCACGTGTTGGAAAAGCTACCTTCCATACCAAAATCTATTAACATTAAGATTATTAAGGACATAGTTTCCATTTGGCTTTTAATTGCACAAAACAGCAAGATTCCAAAGAAATCCAGTTAAACGCTGTGTTTCCTTGCTGCATCTTTAACTGTTTCCTGTGAACTTTCTCCATGCTGCTCCGGGAGTATATAAATACTTATGGGTTTGCTTTATGGCCTCTGCTCTCCTGGGGGTGTTGGGTGGGAATGAAACACTGCAATCTCTTTGTTTCCCTCTTCTTTATTGTGGATGTCATGTACTGGGTTTGTTTGAGTAACATTTAACACTTAGAGTCCGTCTGGGTAATTACTGCCTTTACTTCATAATACATACTCTCAAGGAAATTAAAGATGTACAAGTAGTCTGAAATGACTGGTAGAATGAAACATGAGGAGCACCACAAGGCATTATGGCTTAAAGATCCTGCTGAACTTTAAGAGGATGTAAAAAAATCTTCTCAGCAGAATATAAGATTCATATATTCATAGCAGGATATTAAGAACTATAAATTCTGAGAAGCGATGGGGGAGAATTTACTACAGACTCCTGGGTTCAACAAATAGTTACTATTTTTTCAGCCACAAAGTAAACAAGGAGTGGTTGCATCATTTACATGGCGAGGTTTAAAATCTTCCACAGAAAAGGCAGCCATTCACAGTAAGACTGATGAGGAAAAACTGCATGTTATTGTGGGGAGAAGGGGATGAAACTTGAGAAGTCTATTAGCAGATGCTTTTATTGATAAGATCAGGACTAGCTAATTATTAAAATTCTACATGAAAACAGGTTCTCTTCCCCAAACCAGAATGTTATATGATGCACACATTTCATTCTTGTCCTCATTCTCCAACTGTGAATCCACTTCTTTGAAGCTTTGTTCTGAATGACTCTAAAAGTTCTTTCTAGATCATGGACATATGTGTGAAGGATGGACAGTACTTTGCAGTATGTATTTATCTGTAAAACATCTTGTTCTGCAAAGTTCTCTAAGACAATTTCCAAAACAGTGCACCTAGCTCAGATGTTAGCAAATTCTTCACACTTTTCTCACTGTCCCCTTGTTTGCTCAAATACAGTGACCTACCTTACTCTATTTCTTCTCTGCTAATAGCTCTTAACAATGTTTGTCATTCCTTTTAAGCACATACTTGGATTTGAACAAGTACCTTCTGAATATATGGCCTTGACCCAAAGAAGTCAATTTAATCAAAGTA